CCCATCACCTCCTCACCTCTGAGGCATACAGCAGCTCTGCATTAAATGATGCGTTCACTGTCAAACATAAGAACGATGGTTCCCTAACAGACTAGTGTTCATCAGTGCTTTAAAAAAGAAAAAAGACTTAAAAAAAAAAGAAGGGCAGAATCTGAGCCATGCAGAACTTAAGAATGAGTAGCTATGACAAACCAGGGCATTTATTTAATTTTCAGCTCACGAGAGAACTGACAAAATAGAAGAGGAAGAACAAGAGAATACAGATGTTTTAAGATGTCGCTTTGTTCACTACTAGAGGTAAAAGCAGGGTGGGAGGATGGGAGGTGACACCAGTTGTTAATGGGATTTTTGCCACTGAAAAAAAAAATATGCAGGATTCATTTAGATAGTGCTGCTTCATTAACCACCATTAGTGATCCATTTCACAACTGAATGGGTGAATAGTTGATGACTCTGGGCTCTTCTGGAGTTTTGGGTTTTTTTGATTTTTTTTTTTTTTAATAACATCTCGACTTTAAAAGTGCAAAGCTCTCCCTGTGTACAGCAGGCAGGATTGTGTTCATCACAAAAGTTAGTACTGCAGAAATGCCCACGACGAGCACTTTTGATGTCAACCAGATCAGAAATAAAGTCCACACTTGGTTCAAAATTTGGTCTTGGCACTTAGCACCAATTGTTCAGAGCGTCCCATGGTACCCAAAGGCATCACAACCCCTCTCCACTCCTTTGAACTTTTCAGTAACAGCTCCCATCAGATTTTATATCCTTCCTGAAATGCTTTAGTGTTAATTTTAAAAACCCCAAACTATCTACCTGCCCTTATTCTCTCTCTACACTCGAAGCTTCTTGGGACCCAAGGGAACTTGAGAACACATGCAAGAAACAGCCTAGCTTTGTCATCTCCTCAACACAGCCCAAAGTGCATTGCTTTCAGTCTTGATAGCTTCAGAAAAAGCACTGCTGGGCTGTACCCAGTTCCACCACTGTATATTTAGTACGAGCTTGGCAGTGGTATTTCGTGCCAGGCCTGCAGGTATACAGGGGGGAATAGAGAAGAGGTAGGTAACTACAAGCTAGCAGTGCCCTGTGTCCAGCACATCAGGCAGACCAAGCGTGGCTGGAGGAAAATGCTCCACTTTACCTTACTCTAGCAAGTATCAAGAAGTCATCCAACTTTAAATCTTCGTGACTCCAGGGTGTGCTGTGTACATACTGCAACATGGGGGGAAAAAGACAGACACATACGTTCCTCAGCTGGTAAACATTCAGAGGCAGGCACTGTATATGCTGCAGGATGCAGCATGACGTGCCATAGAGCTGCTGAACTCTTCTGCCACGCAGACAGCAAGTGATAATGCGCAACACGTGGCACAGTGGGGGTCTGCTGCATGGACAGCATCTGCAGGCGTTGCCAGAGCTGAAAAAGCAGCAGAGAAGGCTGGAGCAAAAGTGAAGGGGTCACTTAATTGGGAGGGGTAAAGCACTGCAACACTTTCACTTTGTTTTGAAAGGATTCAATTTTAATGCCCACAATCACGGCACAACACGTTGGACAGCAACAGAGAGAAGTCTTCAGGGAGTTCTCCACTTTTGAATCCAGACACAAAGCTGAGAGAGCGCCTTTATGACACAGGGACAGCCGCCTGAATTCAGAATGATAAACCAGAATTTAAAAAATAATAATAATAATAGCCTGAAGGGCTGAGCAGAACTTGGAAGCAATTCCAGGACACATGCATACAGCCTTCCTTTCTCATCAAATCTACAGGCTGAAGATGATGATTCTTGGCCAGGGTTAAAAACCAGGCAAAAAGTAGCTGTATCATGCCTGTCAGCTATTGCAAGGAATAGTGGGGAACTCAAGTTCTTCTGTCTTTAAAGAGCTCCTATGACATGCATCACCGTGGCAGGTGTCCATGGCATCATTGGGTGGGTGGATCAAGCAGGAGGACATCTAATTGTTACACAAAGCCTCACTGATCAGCAAAGGAAAGAGAAAGCTACATGTCTTTCTACAGGAGTTTGGGGTCAGGCTCTAGTGGTCCAGCATGAGAACAGCTGCAATATGGACTCAAGAAAGGCACTCCTGAGGAGGAGCAGGCAGGTTTGGTTACGAGAAGGAACAACCTCCATGTAGGGTCACTTGTATCTCCTTCCATCTCCTCTGCTACGGTGGCGTTGGATCTACCCATTTAGTGTGTAACTAATATTTGATCCTGTGTGGAAATGGGGAGAAGATGGTGGAGAGGCTGGGGAGAGGACAGCTTTCCAATGAACAATCAAAAGTATCAGCTGGGAATTAGTTTGCAGAAGTTGGAAAGACAATCAGTGCAGATGCTATAAAATACATGGAAAGATGGTTAGGGTGGGTGATCTGAGATCCCCTCTCCTTTGTTGTGCCAGAAGCAGTAAGATTGCAGGTTGGAGATAGCTCTTCTATGCAGTGTTTCCATTGTCAAACTGTCTGTAGTGGAAGAGACTCCTGGAGTCCAATTTCCCGGAGTATTTGACAGCTTCAGCAAAAAGCTTTGTCACCTGTCAATATAAAGCAGAGGAGGACTGAGCATTGCAAAGCCTTCTGCAGAAGGCTGAGTAACAGAGCAGGCTCCACACTTCTTCACTGTCACCCTGAAACTACCCTACGCAGGTCCAGTCCTTGAGTTCATCCAAATTGATACCAGTTTCGAGGTGACTGTGCATGGGTGCTGGCCCTAGCCTTCTGCAGCCTGCCTGTCCAGCTGGAGAGACATGGAGGTGCCAGGCTGCTTTGGCAAGACAGGCCTGTCCCATGAGAGCTGTTCTTTCCCCCTACAGGCCAAGCCTTTAAGAGAACACAGGGTTGTTTTCCTCTCTCAAACTCAGAGATTAAAACTCTGCAATCCAAAGGGTTCAATAGAATGCAGCAAGCAGATGTGGAAATAAATTTTGGATGGAGACCCTCATTTTGGTCGTCAGTGTGTGTTTCAGTAGAAGGCAAAGGATGGGTCTTCAATTTCCCATTCC